TTAAGCGTCTAACTCTTGATCTTGGCTCAGGTGATGAGCTCATGGTTGGTGAGATGGAGCCCCGTGTCAGGCTCTGCGCTGACAGCACGGAGCCTGCTTGGGATTCTCTCCCCCCTCTCCGCCTGTCTCCTCTTGTACACATGCTCTCTCTCTCTTTCTCTCTCAAAATAAATAATTTTCTGAAAGGCCAAAACTTTCCACAACTTGGAGGTTGTGGAGGCTGGATGTCAAGATAGTTAAAGTGTCTTAGGTATTTAAGTGTGTTTCTTAATTCATTTAATCTTCACAGCCACCCTGAAAGGTGGTCATTATTAATCCCACATTAGAGATGAGGCATAGAGAGGGTGGCTATGACACCACGTTACAGCACATGCATCAGAGCTTGGGAACTTACTGAAGTCTGCCCAGTCTAAAATCTGTGCTCTCTCCAGGTTATATGAACACTGAGTCCTGCATTGAGACTGCGCAGTTCATGACAACAGACCCAGTGTTTTTTCAAATGAAATAACAGAAGGTGAGGCTTGTTTTTCACATAAGGTACAACGCCATCATCCTCAGAGCCGAGGCGCAATTGAGGCATTGAATGAAGCTGATAGGAGAGTAGAAATCGGTCAGGGAACCGCCTACACGTGGCTTCGTCTTACAGGGCACCTGGAGGCTGGTGTTCTAAATACAGATGATGACGCTTTGCCTTCCAGGCAAGCAGTGAGGGCAGTGACTAGGAGGCTCCCAGCTGACCCCTGTGGGTATTCTCACCCGGCTAAAAGTAGATCATCTGGTTTTACTACTTAGGGGTTTTATTTTTCTGATCATAAAGTAGACTCTTCCTCTGATAAAAATGTGATTCATCTTGATAAGACCTGTGGGCAGTTTAATCTTTTAGAAGGCCAAGAGGATCCCAAGATCTTATTTAGAACTTAATTTAGTAAGAAGTATGCAAGTAATAAGATTAAGGTTATATTAATTCACAGTCTTATGTTTAAATGAGGGTTTCAAAATAAACAAGATACTTTGGCAGAGTATCTGAATCCATAGGAGCTTTCCATCTGAACCTCGCTCAGCCCATGATGGAAATAATTTCCCTTCCTGAATTCTAATAGAAGCGTCTTGGTGTCTTGTATTGTCTAATACTTCTAAAATGTTTTAAAGGTATTCTCCACAGTACTACCTATTAGAACAAGAGTAGAGAAAGAGCCAAATGCTCACCAGCAGGCAAATGATTACATAAATAAGGCCCACGCACTGCATTCTCATGAAGTGAATCAAATATAACTTTAAAGATTATATAGATTGAAAAATAATCATGAGTAGAATTCAAAATAGCATGTATACTAAGAAGACAATGATGTAAAATTATGGATGAATGGGCGCCCTCCTACACTGTTGGTGGGAATGTAAACTGGTGCAGCCCCTCTGGAAAACAGTATGGAGGTTCCTCAAAAAATTAACAATAGAACTCCCCTATGACCCAGCAGTAGCACTGCTAGAATTTACCCAAGAGATACAGGAGTGCTGATGCCTAGGGGCACATGTGCCCCAGTGTTCATAGCAGCACTCTCAACAATAGCCAAGTCATGGAAAGAGTCTAAGTGTCCATCAACTGATGAATAGATCAAGAAGATTCCATACAATGGAATACTACATGGCAATGAGAAAGAATGAAATCTGGCCATTTGTAGCAACATGGATGGAACTTGAGGGTGTTATACTGAGCGAAATAAGTCAGGCAGAGAAGGACATATGTTTGCACGTATAGGTGGATTAGGAGGAACTTAACGGAGGACCATGAGGGAGAAGAAGGGGAAAAATAGTTGGGGAGAGGGAGGGAGGCAACCCATGAGAGACTCTTGAATACTGAGAACAAACTGATGGCTGGTGGGGGAGAGGGGAAGGGGGGTGATGGGTATGGGGGAGGGCACTTGTGGGAATGAGCACTGGGTGTTATATGGAAACCAACTTGACAATAAACTATTTAAGAAAAATAAATAAAATAAATTTATGGATGAAGGGGGAAAGAGTTGTATTGTGAGTTTATGCCTTACTCCTTTTTAAAATGAAAATTAGGGGGTGCCTGGGCGGCTCGGTCAGTTAAGCATCCAACTCTTGATTTTGGTTCAGGTCATGATCCCATGGTTTGTGAGACTGAGCCCCGTGCCAGGCTCCACATTGACAGTAGGGAGCTTACTTGGGATTCTCTCTCTGTCTCCCCCTCTCTTTTCCCCTCCCTTGCTCATGAGCACACATGCACATGCTCTCTCTCTCAAAATAAATAAACTTTAAAAAATTTTTTTAAGGAAAATGAAAATTTAAAAAAAAATCCAATATTGAAAAAGTGGTTTAAAAGAGTATCTGTGAAAAAGAAACATAATTCAAAAGTATTGGCATTTGGCAACACACACACATGTGGAAAAGAAACATAATTCAAAAGTATTGGCAATTGGCAACACACACACACACACACACTTATACACTTATATGTTTATCAGAGATGTTAATAAAAACAAGAGTTAAATTTGGTTTTATGTTTTTTATGTCATAAGATTGGGCATTGACAGATGTGGAAGATCTTTAACAGGACCTGTGAATTACTTTTCTTGTCTTTTAACGTTCTTGTATGTGAAATGATATTTTGGCCTTTTTTTCTATAATATTTTCTACACAAAGCTATATTTTTTGAACAAAACTAGGAACATACTAAATGACAGGTTAGTATCCTACTTTATTTCATTTCATAGCACTCCCTAAAAGCTTTTCCACATGCCCAAAACTCTATTCTTGGAAATAATTTTAATGTTTGGTTAATATCTCTATAATTTATTTAGCCATCCTACTCTTCCTTATTACAAGCATGCTACATTGCATATCCTTATATGTGAATCTGACTATATCTGATTCTTTTTTTTAAAAGTCCTATTAAAAAAACTATTTTTCTCCTGAAACCAATGCCACACTGTATGTTAACTAACTTGAATTTATTTTATTTTCTTACATTTATTAATTTTGAGATAGAAAGAGAGAGAGAGTGTGAGCAGGGGAGGGGCAGAGAGAGGGAGAGAGATAAATGCAAGCAGGCTCCATGCTGTGAGTGCAGAGCCCAGTGCAGGGCTCAAACCCACAAACTGTGAGATCATGACCTGAGCTGAAATCAGTAGTCAGATGCTTAGCCGGCTGAGCCACCCAGGTGCCCATTAACTAACCTGAATTTAAATAAAAAAATAAAAATAAAAATGCTATTTTAAAGGTTTATTAAGGTCTAATTTACATAAAGTAAAATTCACTCAATTTAGGTTTATAACTTACAAAAGTTTTTTAATGTTTATTTTTGAGAGAGAGAGACAGAGAGACGTGGTGGGAAGGGGCAGAGAGAGGGAGACACAGAATCTGAAGCAGGCTGCAGGCTCTGAGCTGTCAGCACAGAACCTGACACTGGCCTGGAACTCACAAACCACAAGATCATGACCTGAGCCAAAGTCTGTCATTCAACTGACTGAGCCACCCAGGGGCCCCAGATTTATGTTTATAATTAATGAATTTTGATAAATATCTAGTTTGGCAACCACAATGTCAGGTGGGAGAAAGATCACTCAATGTCTCCTTTTCAGCCTTGGCTACACAAGAGTAAATATTAAAACTATGGGGAGAGGAGGAGAGTGTTCTTTTTTCCTATACTCATCTCAACATATGCATTTAATCAGTTCACATCTCTCTCACACACACAAACACACACAAATACTCTTGTGCCTTTTACTTTCTCCTCCTCCATGCTCAGGTCAGCCAGTCAGCTCAGGAAAATCACCATTGCCATCTTCAGTCCATCTACAAGTCTAAAATGACCCACCCAACATACGAGCAGTGCTATGCTATAGCTACTCATAGCGGTAAAGACAGTCAGGGTTGTGATGCAGTCTCACCTAGTAAATAACTGATACCAAAAACCTACAATCTCCACAACAGAGTCTGCATACTTCCCTTATTAACTCTCATTATTCCTCAGGCATCAGTCTTCAAGTTGATTTTGTGTGCACACACACACATATACAAACACACAACCTAACTCCACCTTGCAATCCAGACTCCTTGACGATGAGAGACCATTTAGGGAGAGCCAAAGAAAAAAGAGGTATGGTTTTGGGAGAGAAAACCATCTCTGAAGGCAAGTACGGGGGATGAGGTAGTTAAGAAACAGAATTATGGCCAAGTCTTACCTCTCTATTCTTTGGTAAACTGAAATTTGATCAATTTGATCAATCACTGTGCCCCAGAATAACTGTGTCTTTCTTCCTTGCACATGCAGGGTTTTGATTCAAACGTTCCACACCAAGGAGAGGCCACAGCCCATTCTGTGCATCCGTACTAAGCCTGCCTTCCTCACCCCGCCCCTACCCTCCAAGGATGCTGGGAGTTTTAACGTACAACAGCCCGCAGCCTGGTACACTTCTTCTACTTCTGGAACGATGCCAGCCTCTACTCTTCTCATTCATCCATCCAGTCCCCACAGACGTTGACTGAGCATCTACAAAGCTGCCTACGTCCAGCACTGTAGGAGATGCCGGAGCACACGTGAACAGAGCAGGCTGGTTAGTGCTCTTAAAGAGCCTTCCGTGTAACCTGTCTCTGTACCCATCACCGCCTCCCTCATTCTCCATCATCAGGTCTTTTGCCTGCAGACATCAAATCCTCCCCTAACTCTTACACTTAGCACAGACAACATAGTTTAAGCTAGACACCAGGGAACATAATGGTCACTAAGAAGTTTCTCTGCTCAAAGAGCCAATTGGTCTGGTCTATGGAGGCAGCAGCAATGGTCTGGTCTGAGTGCCTGGTCTGAGAAGGCAGGAACCCCTCCTGTGCCTCAGGGTATTTTTAAAAATCTGGTTGATTAGGGTGAATCGATGCCTATGTGCCAAGTTCTCTTCTGCTGGCCTGGGAGCAACCTAAAGATAAGAGCCAAGGCTGTTTTTGAACCTGGGACCAAATCCCCACTGGGTAAATGCACTCACCTAACTAAGACTGGGATCTTGGGCATCTTCTTGGAGACTTTAAAGAAACTTGTGTCCCCTTTGTTGTCAGTGAAATACACGCCGGCCACGCTGGTCACGAGGTTGCCAGGGAACGTGAAAAGCACCCTTTCGTCATCACCCTGGTTGGCCCAGTCCCAGGCCTGGCCTCCAATGAGCAAGCCCCCTCCGCATTTCATGAACTTGACCAGCTTTTCCGTCATGGTTTCATTGTAGGCATCAATGCAGTAAACCCCTAGGGAGTCTTTCACTTCCGGCTCAATCTTCGCCTCCACCCCAGAGCCCTCAAGGATTTTGGCCAGGGGTGCGAGGGATGGGTGTATGCCAATGGGAGCCCCAGGGGAAGAACACAGCCAGCCCACTGCATTGAGGAGAAAGGGTGTGAGCTGGGCTTCCACCAAGTAGTCCTCGTGAGGCACCACCACCAGGCGGCCTCGGCCATAGGAGGAGGCGGCAATGAGGACCTGGCCCATGTCATTTACCATGACCGGGAAGGAGGCCTCTCCAATGAGAAGCAGTTCGCATGGGATGGCATCTTCGGGGACATCCCAGCTCGTCACTCCATTCATAAGGGCCTCAAAGGCAGCAGAGGGAGTCGCCATGGCTGGATCGACTTCTGTAGAGAAAAAAGCAAAGACTCGGTTTGAGGAAGAACAGATAGACAAGTAAACAAGCCCACAGTTCACCGCTCCCCCAGCTGGGGCAATTCTTCCCTCTACGCAGACGAGACTGACCCTGTGAAATGACTCAGGGACTCACGGGGGCGGGGGGGGGGGGGCGGGTAGAGTATCCAGTCCAGCAGAACGCATCGCACCCTGCCCAGTCCTCCTAAGCTCCTGTGGACAAACTAAAAGGGCCTGACACTTTCCACCACAGAAGGAAACAAACAGAAGTGCAGAATGAGGGCAGGATTGTGTCCCCAAAGAGATACGTTCAAGTCCTAACTCCCTATACCTGTGAATGCGACTTTCTTTGGAAATAGGGTCTTTGCAGGGACAGTCCAGTTAAGATGAGGTCATGGTGGATTTGAGTGGGCCCTAATTCAGTGACTCGTGTCCTTTCAGAAGAAATCAGGATGCAGACACAGACACACAGGGGAGACTGCTAAGAGATGGGCGGGACGTAACTACACCAAGGGCGGCCAAAGGTGGCTGGTGAGCACCAGAAGCTGGGAGAGAGGTGCGGAGCAGGTTTTCCTTCAGAACTTCCAGAAAGAACCATCTGGCCAATACCTCGACTGCTAACTCGTGTGTCCCCAGGGTTGGGAAAGAATAGGTTTCTGCTGTTGGAAGCCCCCCGGTTTGTGGTGATATGTTACAGCAGCCACTGGAAATGCATACAGTGGTGCAGCATGCTGTCCCCACCCCCTCGCTCCCACATGGATCTCACCAAGCCCAGCTTGGAGGCTCCCCCAGAATTTTAGTCTGGAAAGCCCGTGACCTCCGAGACGTTGCCTTGGTCACAGTCACAGGCTGGGGAAGAAACTAGAAGTCCTCTGTGGCTCAAATCCAGAAGCAGAATGTATGCCACACATTACGAAATTGTGGCAGATTCTTCCTTGTGCCCAGACACCGTGGAGAAAGGTGTGGACGTCTGTGGACGCGGACCCACGTAAGTCCTCTGCTGCTTCACTACAGGCTTCCTGCCCGGGATGCTCTACAGCCTCACCCCCACTGTGTGCACTTTACTGAAGCAATTCCCTCAAGAGCAGATGTGTTTTCAAAATCAGGACACGGAGGGCTTGCCGTTCTCACCGACCGCTCGGGGGCACCGGACAGCGCTGGTCCCCAAGGCTCTCACCACCAATGACATTATGCCTGAGCCAACCTCAGCATCTTCAACCTGCTGACCTGTTTACTGTCTCTCCTTCTCCTACCTCTTCTGAAAATGCAGGTATTCCCGTGTTTATAAGCTTTGGCCCTTAACCTCTTCTCTTTCTGTTTCCCTTGTCAGAGAATATTCTCACTCTGAAGGCAATATGGCAAAGCGCCTCCAAGCTCAGGCTCTGGGGGTAGGTTAGCTGGGCTTGCTTGACTCTCAGCTCTGCTCGCTTGCTAACCGGGAGGTGCGGCAGCACATCTCAGTCCTCATTTCCTCCTTCATTAAGAAGGGATAAGAGTATCCACCACATCAGATTGTCCCAAGGATTAAAGGAAACAACAGGTTAAGCAGGTTTCAATTATTTATTATATACGTGTGTGTGTTTATAATAAACACACACGTATGTCTGCTTCTAATTATTTGGTTAAGGGTAAGCTATTTAACTTGCAAATGTGCATAACAGAATTCTTACAACGTGAACAAAGATCAAACCTAATGTTAGAATTTACAAATACTGGAATAAGCATTTAATTATTCTTATTTAAGTTTATTTATTTTGAGAGAGAAATGACAGGGGGAGGAGCAGAGAGAGAGGGAGACACAGACAATTCCAAGCCGGCTCCACGCTGCCAGCACAGAGCCCGACGTGGGGGGACGCGGGGCTGGATCTCATGAACCGTGAGATCATGACTGAGCTGATACCAAGAGTCAGATGCTTAACCGACTGGGACACCCAGGTGCCCCTAATGATTATGATTTCATAGCTTTCACATTTTGGAGCCAACGCTCACATTAATATTAATTATTACTACGTTCAGTTCTAAGTATTTCCATGGGCCCTTGAAAAACTCCGAGGCACAGACCAAAAGGCCCTGGTTCTGAGATAACGAATAAAGTCAAGGTCCCTCCTGAAAGAGCACATTCTGTCATTTGCAGAGGCCTCTAAAACTAAAGAGGTACTGAATTCATTCTTTTCCCCTTAAACTAGCTCCTCGTAGGCAAATTACATGAGCGCACCTCCCCCCCCCCCCCCCCCCCCGTTGTTAAGGAGACATCTACCTCAGAGAAGCTTTGAGGCCAGAGAATCAGCAAGTGATTGCTTAACAAGAGCTTGTCCCTTCTCTGCTCATCCTGGTGTCCACGGACAGCCAGGACGGCAAGCCACACAGTCACAGCTGTGTCCCTTCTCCCTCCTGTCCCATATCCAGCTGGTCACAGTCCTGCCGAGGTCACCATTCATGGTCTCCAACCACACTGCCAGTAACCTAGTTCGGGTGCTCAGCACTTCATTCCTCGACCGAAGCGATCCAGTTTCTAAGTCACCAGGGTCTTGTTCTTGCCTCTGTTCTTCCAAAGCCACTGACTATATTAGTTCCCAGAAGAGAACCCCCGCCTGGAGCTTAGCCTTTTCCCACGGGGTTAAATCTGACACCTTCATCCCGGGGTTTAAGGTCCCCAGGGCTGGCTGCTCCTTCCATTTTCCAGCCGTGTCTCGGGCCACCTAACCTCTCTGCAGCTTCTAGAACATGTGGCATCCCTGGACATGCCCTGCTTTCATTTTAGATTCTCTTCCCTTCCCCTTCCCTCTCCCACATCTTTCTGTCTGTTGAAATCCTATCCTTCTAAGAGAAGCTATTCACAGACAAGGACATTTAAATGGCCAGTTAGTCTATGAAAATAAGCTCAGTCTCACTTGCCAGGCAATTGAAAATAGAATGCAGGATGCTGCTCACAAGACTGTCAAAAAAGGAAGACGGTGAAGGAGAAAGTGAAGAAGGTGAAGGCAGACAGTAATGCCCAATGTCCAAAAGGCTAAGCAGACATGACCACAATTTGCTGGAAGGGCTGAGAAGCTGAGAGCGATCCGACAGTTACGCTGTCCACAGAGTGGCAGCTCCGTCTCAGGGCTGAGCCTGTCCTCAGACCAGCAGTCCCTCTTCTGATTGCCTTTCGTACGGAAGTCAGAGCAGCCGCATTAAAGACGTATGTACCAGGATGCTCACTGCCGTATGAAACTACGGATGGAGACAGATAAATGCAAACTGAGGAGATAAATGATGACGAATGTTTTCCGGAACCATCTGTGACTCCTGTGGGTGCAGCTCTCTGCCCTAAAGCCACACCGACCCCACTTCCACAAACTGCGGCACCCCACAGCCCATTGTGGTTAACAGAAGACCCCAGGGTGCACCCCCAGGCAGCCACCCGTCCACACCCTGCCCGGAAAGAGCTGCCCATCAGTCCCCTCCTCCAGGGGCCCTAGTCGCTGCCGGGGCAGATCCTCCAAAAACACTCAGGGCAGGGAACTCACATTTCTGCCTCGCTAGCTGTCTTTCGAGCTAGTTCAGGGGAGCAGATCTCTCTGTGGAGAAGTGACAAAGACGCGGGCAGGTGGCCTGGAGACCAGAGGAGGGGCCAGAATGAGGAGGGCTTTTCCTGTGGAGTTGCCTCCTTCTGTCTCCTGCGCTGGACCAGTGGCCCGAGGTGAGTGGGGTTTGCTAGCGACACTCAAGCCCCCCTCCTCTCTGTCCGGCATCACGAGGGGGACCTTATACCAACGCTGTGCGTGTGGCAAGGCAGCCTTTGAGGGAGAATGTCTGAATAAAGTATGGTCATCTGTATTACAGAATATCACATCACTGTTACAAAGGCTGCGTTCTAAATTTTGCATCTGTGTAGAATACCCTAGGTATATTTTAAGTGAAGCTTTCAAATCACTGTAATACATAGGACACACATCCATTTTTGTATGAATGAAAATAATAATACTATTAGTACTTTTAGTAGTAGTAATGACTATACGTTGCTTCCCAGGTTCCAGACATTACTGTAAGTGCTTTACATCAGTTCTTTGATCCTGAAAATACATCTATGAGGTACGTACTATCACTGTCTCCATTTTATAGGTGGGCAAAAACGAAAAAAAATATGATGGTCAGAGAATGTGTTACATGCTTAGGTCACAGAGGTGTGAGTGGTGGATCTAGGAATCAAACCCAGGGAATCTTAAACTGGAGTCCACCTTCGTAAACACCAGAAATACATAAGCCTGTTAAGTACCAGGATTTTATATCCAATAGAAAATCTGTGGAGGCCACATTTCAGCATGCTAACACTCACTGCATTAGGAAGAGAAGAGGTGGACAGTATTCTTTCTCTTTATACAAGTCTGCATCCTTTGAATTATATACATTAAAGTTAAAAATGACACAGATAATATAAATTCAAGCAAACATGACATGACTGAGTATACACACCATTGGGTTCCTCAACTGATCATCTCTCACTCATCCTAAAATGTCTTTCTTCATCTCAATCGGTTGAGCCTTTACCCACTAAGAAATCGGATTTTCTCCCTCTATGGGATTCCTTGAACTTTGCAGCTGGGTCCACTCCCACTTTAACCAGTTATATCCAGGACTCTAACACTTGACTTTTAAACAAAACGCTTCCTGTTTATGCCCCAATCCCTGTTGCTCTCCTAGCTCGGGGAGTGCAGATGGACACAGCCTGGGGGAAATCCCTTTTATTTCTCTGAGTTCATCCTTGATTCTCCTTACATGGCTCCTGCTTTCTCTCTCTTGGGCCAACTCTGGCCTCTTTGAGCTTGCTGGAACCCAAGGCACCCCTAACGCGGAAGGTACCTCGGGCACAACATGTAACTCAGGGAGAGAGCTTTACAACTCCCTCCTCCCACCACAGACGCCTCATGCTACCTAAATGGCGTCTCCCTTGAAGAGCTGTATTTGGAAGGTAAGGTGTGTAGTGGGCAGTTCTTGGATAATGCACCACATCCTGCATTATAGTTTGATTTCAAATCCCCAAAGTAGGGTACGTGTCTGGGATCAGGGGATATGTTTGATTCTTTGGATTCCCCAGGAATGAAGAGGTACTCCCTGGATGGATGACTGAGCAATGGATGTGGTATCAAGGGCAAACCTAGGATCAACTTCTCCAGCAAATAGCGACGTTGGCCTTGACGAATGATTAATGTCACAGACATCCAGTCCTATAGGCCCTCCCTTCTTATGCCATTTTCTTCCATCAGCCCCTTGTTTCTTTTTCACTGTATACATCCAATATCCTTTCCAGTGTCCATCAACTAAGCCAGAGTTGAGGTGGGGTCACCCTTCTTTTGCGTTCTGTCCTACATACTTCCAGGTCAATTGTACTTGTTTTTCACTTTAAAATGGTTTAATTGGGGTGCCTGGGTGGCTCAGTCCGTTGAGCATCCGACTTCGGCTCAGGTCAAAATCTCCTGATCCGTGAGTTCGAGCCCCACACCTGGAGCCTGCCTCGGATTCTGTTTCCCTCTCTCTCTGCCCCTCCCTCCCTCCCTCTCTCAAAAAAGAAACAATAAATTTTTAATGGTTTAGTGAACTATCTAAAGGACTATGTAATTTGTGTGGAAGGACACAGATGGTAAACTAATCAAACAATTTTAAAAATTAAACAGATTCCTATATAGCTACTACCCAGCTTAAGAAAACAGACCATTACCAATGTTTTTGAAGGCCTTCTCACGGCCCTGCCTTATCCCTCCCCCATTCCCTAAAAAGCACGATTCAAAATGCTATTTTGAATATTCCCGGTTACTATCTTACTACATTCCTTTAATTCCTGAGCTCCCCTGGGGCTTTCTTTCTCTCATATCTGCGCAGTTTTCTCTCCAGGAAACTCCCAGGAGAAGGGCATCAAGCTGGAGCACAAGCCCCGGAGAGGCGACCGGCCTGCCCCCGAGAGCAGAACGTTCTATCAAAGGGACAACGTTCGAGACAGGTCCTTCTTAACCTCGAGGGGCTGTTGATACCGAATTCCGGCGTTGGATCCTCAGCGCCCGCTAGACTCTCCTACGCAGGCCAGAGCCAGTGGGCATAGAGCTTGTCGGTGACGTCAGAGGAACGGAGAGGGGCTGGGATGGGGGGGGCGGGAGGGGGCGGGAAGGATCGAAGGGGGAAGACAGGATGGGGAGAGGGGAGGCGAGCGGAGCGGAAAAGCTCTGCCCGGCAGGCAATGCTTAGACCCGCTGGGACGGCTGGGGTGAGGTAGGGGTACACAGACCCCGGGCCCTTCCTGCACGTACACACACACACACAGACACAGCCCAGTCTCCAGGGGGCCGGTGAGAGTGGGCGAGGGAGCTCAGGCCGCGAGCCGGGGTTTGCCAAGATGAGAGGGCAGTAGGTCGGAGGCGATGCCCGGCCACCTGGGCGAGCCCCGCCTCCTCCCGGGGCTGCGGACGAGATGCCGCCCTCCGCTCGGGCCGGCGCCTCGCTCGACGACACCAACATCAGATGTCAGGGCCCGGGGCGGGGCAGCCCTGCGGCAGCGGCGACGCGGCGCCCGGACCCGAGAGCAGCAGCCGCACGGCCGGGGTCACCGGTCCGCGGCCCCGCGGCGCCCCCCTCCCTCCCGCCCCGCCCGCCCCCCTCCCCCCCCGAGCCCGGCCGCGTCCACCCCCGGCCGCCCCTCCTCCGCTTTCTCCGAGGGCCACTCACCGGGTCTCCCCGCGACTTCCACCGGGGCAGCCGAGGGGGCAGGGTCGGGCGCCGCGGGGCCGCGGGGCCGGGGCTTCCCTGCGGGCGGGCAAGGGGAGGAGGGGTTCCCGGCGAGTCTCCGCCCCCCCACTTCCTCCCGGGCGCCAGCGCCAGCCCGAGGGGCGGCGCTTGGCTGGGGACGGCGCTTCTTTGTGTCGCGGGCGCTGCGGGCTCGGCACCGCGACGCCCCCCCCCCAGCCCGGCACAGTGGACGGCCGTTCTGTTAGAGACGTGAACTTCTCTATTCGTGACCAAGGGCGAGGCTGAAGAAGTGATAGATTATCCAGTTCTTGGGAGGGGCTTAGGTCTCCGTTCAGTTGGGGGGAATGTACCTGACATACTGCCAAGGGGGAAATGAGAGCTGCAGGAAGCTTTGGACTATGCTTTCATTAAAAACAAAACAAAACAAAACAAAACAAAATAGCCCTTTACGTATTCGTATTCGGGTGGGAGAAGGCAAGCTGCGTCTCTGCCTGCTCACGTGATTGCCCTGAAGTACAGCGGAGGGCAACTTTGCTAGAGCCCTGCGTTGTTACATACGTTACTTCTGCAAGTGAAAACTGAGATGATATGTCAGACAATAGGTAAGCAGAGCTGATGCATCTGTGTACATCTCCGCTCCTATCTCTACCTGGAAGTCGTTTCCAAGAACCAGCTGAGAGCTGCCCGTCCCCTCTGAATTGTGAGCTCTACTCTGTCCGGTGACATCACCTCCCTCAGGTGCTGGCCGGTTCTAGCATGTGAAATGCAGGGAGGTGCAGCGGTTCAAAACTCAAGACTGTCACCAGATGCTCTGGATTCAGGTCTCAGTGCTACCTACGCTTCACAGGCTGAGTGACTGCCCGAGAGTTCCTGTGCTCTTCAGGTTTACCTGTACAAGGCGGATGATGAAATCAGTACGCATATTACAGATCTCTTAGAAGGCTTAAATTAGGTGAGTTCTTAGATCGGTAAGACTGCACCAGTGCTTTTTAAGGAAAATAACTATTCAGGCTGTGCTAAGATTCAATTCTTCATGTTTCAGGAAGATGCATCCGAGTCATATTTCCTTTCCCCAACTCCCTTCAACCCCCTTTCCTCTTTCCTTTCTTCTTTAGATCCTCTCCCAAACTGAATCATATAAGCAATAGCCAGTAGGGGGGTGTGGGCAGGTGAGCTCAGTGGCATAAAACATACAGGGAACGCTGGGAACAGAAATCAAGAGAACCTCAATTCAGGCTCCTGCCCAGTGAAACACCACCTGTGTGACAGTGAGCAGCGGGTCCTTTATCGCCCAGATAAAGGCTCAGGGCTCCCAGATGATCAAGGAGAAGGACTGGAGACTCGCTTGCTAATAAGTCCCTTTCCAGTCGGAAATGACAAGACTAGAACACCATAAGGCAAAACCCCCAGATACCGAGTTTCACGAAAAATGTTGAGATGCAAAACAAAAACGCACCCATTGCTTCCGTAAAAATAAATACAATAAAAGTACAAAAACACACATGAGAAGGATAGAATCTAACTTAACATCTAAGGATGGACACGAGATTTGGTGGGGTAAGGATTTTCACTGTCAGGTTTTGTTCTTAGAAAGGAGAAGACACACACACACACACACACACACACACACACACACACGGCGGGGGCGGGGGGAGAGCAAGTGCGCTGAAGCGAAGGTAATAAAATATTCGCATCTGACAATTCTCTTATTGTCTATACGTATCTGCAGTTTCGGAACGTTTCATTATGAGAAGTGGTTTTAAAAGGGCATAAATTCCTGGAGAACAAGAATGAAGCACGGAAGAAATAAGGGCCGGAGTGGTGGAAAAAGAGCAGAGCCAGACACGGAGATGGAGAGACCGCAGGGAGTCCTCTTTGGAAGACATCTGCCTCCTAAGGCCGAGCGGTCTCGGGCCCCAACCCCGACTCCCGTCGCAGCCCGGCGGGCGCCCCCTCCCCCGCGCTCCCCCGACCCCGGGCGGGTCCGTCCCGCTCCCGCCCGGGCTGCGCGGGCTTCATCAGTGCGCCAGGGGAGGCGGGGGGCCCGCTCCGGTTCCAGAACCATCTTTGGACGAGACTCACCCGTTATCCGGCAGTGTGCACACCGGGCTACTTCGGAGGGGGAAGGGACTCCTCTGCAGAGACGTGACAAGGAGACAGGGCAGTCAGCCTGCGGATTCGGTAATTGGTGGAGGTGGGGGCGGGAGGCGTGTGGGGGGAGACTGGCTGCAGTGCAGAGAGGGGCTGGGGGGGGGGGCGTGCATCCCGGGAGCTGATTGGCGGCGGCGGCGGGGCGGGGGGTGGAGCCTGGCCGGCCGCCCCCAGACCTCAGAGGCCCTGCTTTGTGTCGGTTTCTGGGAGAGAATGCAGCCTCGAATCCTGGAGGGTGTCCAGGCAGGCCTCCCAGAATGCAGACGGCGATTAAAAAAAAAAATAATAAATCCGTAAGACTATCTACCAACAAGGGAGGGTTGGTGTATATAGATTTGTATATAAGCCAATACACGACTGTTTACAAGGATGAGTTAAATCTACGCATACGGGCCAGGAGTTGGGCTGGAGCTGTACTCCTAGCTTTAATGAACATTTAACATGGTGGTAAAAATGGAGAGCTTGCATTTTTGTACGAAAAACTTTTAAAATCTTTACATATGCTTATATAAACACAGAAGTTACATGCAAAACGTACATTAAAATATTAGAATCAGCTCAGACTGTTAAGAGTAGATTACTTTTAAGTATTTTTTCTTCATACCCCTCTTTAACATTTCAGTGGCGATATGTGTTATTTTGTGATTTAAAAATGATACATTTAATCAACTAAAATAGATAAAAACACCCTTGCTCCAGTAGCTGATAGTGACGCCTCTATAAATATGATTTCTCCCTGTGTGGGGGATTCTTGAACTTGGCTGTTCGTCCTGTCTCATTTCAGGCAGGTGAGAGTGGGATAGAACAGGTGACTTTTGAGCGGGGACCTGTCTGCTCATCTAACTTGGTGAGCTCAGCATTAGAAGCTGGGGAGAAACCACCTGCCCCTTTTATGGCTGCCGGTCCCAAAGACCTGAAAGATTTGTGTGGCCTCTGCACATTCTCCTGTTTCCTCACCCTTCACCCCTCACTGCACTGGCCCCTTTTCTCTGGGTGCCCAAGGAGAAAGTGTCCCTGACCAAACTCCTCAGGAAGCGACCATTAAACAGATGTCTCCCCTACTGCGAAGCAGTGTCCAGGCTGGACCTTCCACAGGAATGTGGACTCTGGTAAAGAGGAAAGATTACTACATCCTGTATTACTTCAGGGTTTCATTACAACTCCTCAAACTGGAGTAAACAAGTCAAGAGCTATGTTTTATTCTTCTTCAGAGTCTCCACTTCACGTGGCCATAAACCGGTACTTGATAATGTCCACTTGACAGCTGGATGGACAAGATACATGAATGTGGGGTAAGGAAGGCAATCTTAGCACATTCCTCCTTGAACAAGACAAACAGAAGCTTAATACTGAAAACCAAGCAAACTGCAAATTTTCTATGTTGTAAGTTTTCTCCTCTTCTTCAGGTCCTTTTCTTTGAATTTTCTCCGAACAAGAGAAACAGCTATCATTTTCTTTCTATATCTGCTAAAACTTCAGCTGGTTCTAGTCTCTCTCTCTTTCAGACTTCACATTACTAGCTCAGTTTTAAATCCTAAATCCTTCCTTATTTATACTTCCTCTAGAGTTTCTGTTTTTCTTCCCAGTTTGTACCTCAAGTCATAGAAATTGCCAGGAAATCCTGAAAGTACTGAAATAACTTTGGAGATACTACATTCTGTAACTACTCAGCTACACTGGAAGGAATAAACAATTTATTAAAAATCCATACTATAAAAGATGATGCATTTCTTAAAAAGGATGAGCTCAAGTTATACCTTGAATGCTCTCAATATATATTTTCAGTGAAAATTTTGTAGGGCTATTTTTGTGTATTTATGTTTATCTCGCAGGAAAAATAAGGATATATTTGCTACCTCAGGAAGTGAGGAGGGCTGGCCAGTATTTTTTTTCTTTAGACATTTTGTATTTTTAAAATGTTGCAAAAATAATTCTGAAAAAAGAAATAGGGCTACTTAGTAATACCACTTGTAGGTATATACCCAAGGTGTGTGTGTGTGTGTGTGTGTGTGTGTGTGTGTGTGACCAAAAGACATGTACTAGAATGTTCAAAGCGGCATCATCCATAATAATCTAAAACTGGTGGCTACTCAAATGCTGGCCCCCCTGCTTTCTTACCCCCAGTGCTGTCCTGGCATTATTCTGAGTGTCTTAAAAATGTTATTTTCAGGCCAACAAATACTGAAATTTATTTTCAAAAGACCTTGAAAGGAAATTCTAAAGGATGTATCTCAAGAAGAAATAAAATAATCTTAGATAAATTATCTGAAATTTAAGAGAAAATGGTAAGAGACTTCTAAATCTGGCAGTGAGCTGGTACCTTCTCTGGAACAAAGCTTCCACTGAAAATTCACAGCAATAGATGTTGGACAAAATATAGGAAATAATGGAAGACTTTGGAGAACAAACACAAGGAGAACTTGGGAAGCTACAGTCCCAAGGGAAGAAAAACACAGGACATAAGTTCCACATTTGCTGTGGTTTTTTCAGTTGAGGGCATTTTCCAGCTCACAAGCATAAAGTGTCAGTCTGGTTCTGGATTCTCAAACCAACTGAACTCAAAGGGCAGAATTTCAGACAAGAAGAAGTCTCTGAGAAGTAAATATAAAAATATATGTACAGATTTGTCCCTGACTGACCCTTAAGCTATGCACACATGGGAATAGACTCCCCCAACTTCCAAAAAAAAAAAAAAACTTGTTGAAAATAGACACTAACATGCTAAATAGTTGAGCAGTCAATTCAGTTAGCTGTACTGTTGTGGGAATACAGCAAGTCCCACAAAAGTAAGTGATTCTTATCAACAAACCCTGCTTTTGGTTGAGAAAAATCCATGGCATATTAGTAAGAATGACACCTTAGGAGTAAGGATTATGCTTGGGTAAAGGAAAAACTTGAAATGCACCAGTTTTAAG